TTTGAATTTTACCTAAAAAAAAAGTACATATACTCATGTACATACATAGATCTACATATGTATAACACATCAATACCACTACATGACACAAATTCACAAGATGCTCACAGTCACTGTCGCTTCTCCTCGAAGACTCAGAGCCATAGAGACCTGGAAATTCTCTCTCGACATCAGGGCTCTCGAAGTCCATGCTGTTGTCTATACTTGATGATCCATACATCAGGACTAGCAAAGGTCGTGTGATCCAAGCCTTGAAGTTGACACAAGAAACCTGTGTAGGATGAGACAGCCTTAGAAAAACATTTTTGAGCACATGTCAATGGCAAGAATTTGAGATAATAACAGGGATATAATGCTGTAGCTCCTCATCTTTTAAAGGATAAAGTTAACTGTAATATTACCTCTTAAATATCAGTAAAAACAACATAACAACTGTGAAGACCACACAGAAATACACTACCCCAAACATACACATGAAGAGGAAAGGGCACAGAGTCATTATGTATACCAGAGTTAGAAGGTGACAAAAAAGTATCAATCATGTTGTTGAACCTGAGACACCCTACAGGTAATAAAGTTACCACTGCTGTGATATACTTCTTGCAAAACAAATGCTAGATCAATTTTCTCTAATTTCTCTGATTGCCTGAACTTGGATTCTTGAGGTAGTGGCACTCTGAAACTAACTTGGCTGCATCTGTTAGGATTAAAGAAAGGAAGTCTCAATTATATGGAAGTGAAACACAATAGCCAAATATCCGTCTATCAGCGTTAAGCACTGGGTACTGAACTACGAATGCCAGGTGAGCAGCCTATGCTGAGAATTTTCAAATCAAGGACGTAGATCATAAATACGCTTTAATGGTGAGATTAGATAAACAGCAGCCAAAACACAAGTGCATCTAGGATTTAGTCACAAAAGACTCTTGACTAATGAAAGAAGCTCATCCAGGAAGCTTTGATTCTTGTTCTTTTTCTTATGTAATTCATGAAGAGTGATATACAGCATCTCTCAGTCTCCAGGTCTCCCCCTCTCTGGGATGTAAAGAGATAGAGAGAATGACTGAATACACTGCAATTCAAACAGGCCCACAAAACTTTGAAATTGCAAAAAGGAAAAGTGCTTACACAGCAGCTTTAACAACCATGTCTCCTCACAAAAAGAAGAAGAAGAAGAAAAAAAAAAAAAAATCATTCAAATTAAAATGGCATAGCGTGATAAATTTACAAAGAAAAATCAAATCACATAAGATCGTATTTTCATTTATTTCTCTATTTATCATTAAAGCTCAACCTGTGAAAAAGCTGTGCAGCCTGGACTACCCTAGACTATGTGACACAAATTGAACTCCTGGCGGCATCTTGACAATCACGCATTTTCTTGGTTTCAATTAATCACTCATCTATCTCCTTTTTTCCATTTCCATTTTCTGGCACAAGGACCATTCTACATCAGATCTTAGCACTTTAACAGAGAGAGAGAAAGAGAGGAAGAAAAGGATAGACTCAGGAATTTAATTTGTTAGGAGTGAATAAACACTTTACAAAATATTCAGTACGATAAATTATATATAACTGAGTAAGTAATTAGCTTTTAACATGCATTTTTCATGACAAGCATTAGTCTAACTAGATGATATACAGACTGCATGGCAAAGTGTACCGTACCCCTTGGAGTCTAAAGAGATGATGATGATGATGATGATGATGATGATGATGATGATGATGATGATGATGATGATGATGATGATGATTGATGATGATGATGATGATGACAATGACGATGATGACGATGATGATGACAATGACAATGATAATGGTAATGATGTTGATGATGACAATGACAATGATAATGGTAATGATGTTGATAATGACAAAAATAATAAAGAAAAAAATTATGGACAATGACTGAAATTTGTCCCTAAAAATTCCAACTGTGTAAAAATACTAACTAGTTAAAAGAGAGAACTTTGTCACAGGAACAAATAAATACCAATAACATGAACTCAAAATTCATATTGCAGGTGACTACTTAAAAACTAATGAGGCATATTTTAAAAACTGTTGGAAGTTATGAGCACTCTAAACTCTATCACCAACATTCAGTGTTACCAACTTATAGTACGGTACACATGCATCGCAATCATTTAACCAATTGGCATCAGTTTAAGTAAGGAAAAGGCTATATTTTACATCTCCACCCCCCTACCAATCTTGGCTTCTGTGGCTGAACAGCATAAATACGTACACAAAGATCAATTATATAATTATAGAAACTCTTTACCATATTACTCCACTATAATAGTTCCCCTAGCTCTGTCCTCACAAGCAGGGTGTCAAACTCTATTACACGAAAGGGGGCTTTACACAAAATATAGAATATAGGAGATTTTTATATGGTATGTGATTATCAATAGTCACTAAATGTAAATGACATATGTTGAAAATGCATTCTGACCAACTCCAATGATGTCCAAATCAAAATAAGAACACAATTCTATCAACAACAAAGAACCCTAAGAACTACTTGAGGCAAGATACTTATCAGTAAAGAATAAAAGAATAAAAAAAAAAAAAAATACAAATACACTTTTTATACCATACACACATATCCCTTACTGTATATCCACATGCAAGCCCAATTATTGTGATCTTATGTAAACTGTCTGCATCACTTTACTGTGATACCATATGACCAGTTAGGAAGTCAGAAAAAGACTCAGGATGTGGTGTGTCAGTCTTCATGTTTGTCATCTGAGCATAATAAAATATGAAATCAAACAAGACTCTGAGCTAAACTGTATTTCCAGCAATCTTTATCTGAAACTGAACTGGCATTTCCCTTATTTAATAAGGCTGTCTTGTTCATGAGTCAAAGTGTGAATTTTACTCAACATATGAACAAACAAATACAACCCACTCCTCATACATATGTGGAGCTCTTCCTGTCAGTGCCTGCCACCCATTTCCAACTTCCTCCAGCTACGGACACAGGATATCCTTTCCACTGAAATGTTCAACCTCCTGTAACTCTATCCTCCCAGTCTTCCCACTCATTACAATGCTGTTTATGATGCAACCACATCAGACTGTCTATTGTTTAACAGAGTCGCAAATGAATGGTGCAAAATGTAAAAGGAAAATTTGTCAAACTCTCTTCATTACAGCTGAGAGGCAAAAGGATGTCTAAGTAAGATGGAGCCCATGCAAGAGAGGCAGGGTATATGGAAGACATACCATGAGGGAGGTTGTGGTGCTTCAAGCCTCTCCCTGGAGGAACAAGCGGCACATAAATATGGGCACTGCCTGAGGGCCTAGTCAGAATTCTAAAATCCAATCAAGTCAGCTCAAATTCCTTGATTTAGAAGTTTTACACACTAAAAAATGGGTCCAATGTTCAATTTTGTTTGAGTAATCATAGACTTTAATCATTCTTAGAAGTTTGCCAAAGCTTAATCCTAAAGAAGCAAATAACTTAGCACACAAATATATCAATTTCATTAAATTTAAAATCTTAACAGCAATAAATGAATTAAAATCAGCTGACCTAAACCTAAATTTCTAAGGAATCTCACCTAATGATGAACAGCAATTTCTTTCCTGCAAAGACAAGTGATAAAGTGACTCACAACCTGAAGTTATATGCTCATGTGGGTCTAACAAATATATTTGGTGTATGCTCTCCTATTTGTGCACAGTGACGAAATTAGATTTAACCCAAGAAAACAGTAGTTAGCATCTCAACTCAAAAATACAAACCACAGAGATGAAGCTACATCTTTTGGATATAGAAAATTGCAATATGAATGAGTGCAGACCCTGAGAGAGCGGTGCAGATAATGGAAGTGTGAAAGCATGTTTTCATCAAGCAAAGAAATGACACTAAATTGCTTTCCTCCTAAACATAACTATTACTTCTCAAGCTCGACTCAAATGCATACATATATACATACAAACAAACATACCTATACACATTTATAATCATCCACCCAACTCTGAACATACAAATCAATACAACCACACCTAAATATGTATTTTTTCTTTTTCAAACATTCTTTTACACTCATTAGTTAAACAAACTATCACTAATGAAAAAATATGTACTATCCCATTACCTGTATACATGCGCAAATTATCAATGTGAGGTTAGTAATAGCTATTTTATTCATTATGACAAAGAGTGTATTACCTCAACAAGTATACCTGATATAAAGAAAACTTTGTTGAAGCTGTTTTAATGATAAATTCTAACAACAACTGTCCCTCCCCAAGACAATCTCATTCAAAAATAGAGTCATTAATAATTCAATTAGGAATAATTATTGAATAAATAAAGTGAGCTACATCTCCTGAATACCTTTCACTTATTATATGCTCAGAACACTACAATATTCAAATAACAAAATTACAACTGTCTCTGGAATTGATGCAAATTATTCTAGTAACTATATAAGATCATGGGAGCATCTAGTCACTTGATTCTAAATACCCTTTGATTACTGTAACGTGACCTAGTCTAAATTAGTTACTTTTTGTATAAAGTGTCATCCTTGATAGCTCTTAATTATGTAATTTACTTAATATTCACCAATAATTAATATCTTCAAATTTAATTATATATTCTTTCCATTCACTTTTCAAATTCATTCTTTTTATTCTGCTGTTGTCTGTATTCTTCCAGAGAGCATATTTGTTAAAACACTGAAAGCTGTCACTAAATGTCAAATCAAAACTCCAAAAACTAATGATGATTAAGTCAAAATATCAGTAATTGTCCACAATAGGACTATACAAAAAATATATATATATAAATAAAAATCTTTTACATACGTTGAAACAGCTCTTGTGGATAATAGCAGCACAAAAGATATCAAAATGACACCCACAGCGACCTAAACACTACATCGGCATAGGCCAACAAACCTCAACCTGAACATATCTAGGTGCAGGGTAAAAACTTTCTTACCAACTAAGGCCTAGTCTTAGCTAGGCTGTTACTTCATGTGATCCTACTTCATATAATTAAATGAATATAAATTTATATTACTCCATACTTTAAACCAAACTATTTATGGCAAAGTATATAAAATCTTCTGTAACAGGATCTATAAACTTTCCACTTTTTCTGAAGACTTTTACATATACAAAATAAAACTGTTTAATTGTTAAAGTAAACACTAATAAGTTTTCAAAATATAATTCTTATCTCTGATTGGCATTTGCAAGCAACTAATAATTTATGATCTCTTAATACAAAGGTATTTAGAATAAAAACAATAAATCTATACTGCCTAAATGAACTCTTTAAACAACACTATATAAATATCTATTTTGTGCATTCACCATATTCAATAAATCCTGTTATATATGCTCACTGTAATCTCCAAGCCACACCATATATTTAAGCCCCACCTCATAAGCTCACTGTATTCTCTAAGCCACATTATGCGAGTTCACTGTATTCACCAAGCCAAAACACATTATCTCACTGTATTTCAAGCCACATTGCACAAAGTCACTGTACTCTCCAAGCCACACCACATAATATGCACACTGTTTTATCTAAGCCACACCTCATAAGCTCACTGTATTCTCTAAGCCACATTATATATAAGTTCAATGCATTATCCAAGCTACACTATACACTTTCATTTTACTTCTGCAACTCACACCACATAAGCTCACCGTATTTTCAAAACCAAATTACACAATCTCACTGTATTTTTTCTACACATTCATCAAACTCCACTTTATAAATAATAGTCAACCTACACAATACAAAGGCACTGTGAACTCACACACAACACACTACAAAACAAGGCAGTGATGACACCACAGACACTGTAAAGATACTGACTTCCTACACAGCTGACACACCCACAGCTGAGTTCCTACAGACAGACACAGACACACAGGTAAGCAGACAGACACAGGCAGACACAGACATACAGGTAGGCAGACACTCACAGACACAGACACATATACATAAACAGACAGATACACAGACTGACAGAGAAGCAGATACAGAAACACAGGTATACAGACAGACAGATACACAGACACACACACAGGCAGGTAGACAGACACACAGGTGAGTTGACACAGGCAGACACCAATTTCTCCTTGCAAAAGATACATCTCATTGGAACCTATTTAACCCTATTTCAAACCTTTTTTACCCAATTCCCTTCTCGTGCTGATAAAAAGCTCAAGAAAGAGGACAGGAGGGATAAATAACAGATAGAGAGATGGATAAAAGGGCAGATAAAATAGACGGATAAATGAACAAATAGGGAGGTAGGTAAATCAATGGATCAAAGAAGATGCACAAGAAAACATTCACTAAATCAGGAAATAAAAGAGAATAAGATGGTGCCTTAACATTTTTTTTAAATGTGAGACAAAAAATATATGGAAAAAATTATAATAGCTTGTGAGGCAAGAAAAGATAACAATGTTAATAATGAAATCATTCTCAAATGGGCCTATATATAATAAAATATATACATATATTTATATAGATTCAACGTTTCTATATCTCAAGCTATATAAAACCAGTCATAGTATGAAGAGAGAAGAAAACGCAAACAGAAATAAGAAAACGCAAACAGAAATAAGAAAAAAATTAAGAAACCTTTCTCTTTGAATTAGAAAAAAGGACATATATATTCCCAAATCCCTTCTCTCTAAAACACACACAAAAAAGGAAAGAAAAGTAAGAAAAATAAGAAAAAAATAAGAAAAACAATAACAAAAATGAAGAAAACTTCTATGAATGACTGAAAAAATAAACTAAATGAGAATCCTTTTTCACTAACACAATGTACCTGAAAAAGACAAGAAAACCCAAGTAAAACTAAGACTAAGAAGAACATTTACGAATATAATGAAGAAATCTCCCAATAGTGAATTAGAAAAACATTCTAACACAATCCCCCTGAAAAAGAGAAATGAAAATCAAAGAAAAACTAAGAAAAGAACAAACAATTACATATCATTAATGAAGAAAAAACCTCTTTCCATAAACCCTTGAAAAATATTAACCAAAATAAACCAAAAATAAAAAAATCCCCCAAATTCCCTTCCAAAACAAACACACCCAAAAACAAACCAAACCCCCCAATAAACAAAAAACCCCAAAACACAACAAACCACAAACAAGAAACCCCAAAAGAAACCCCCAAAGGAAAAAAAAACAAAAAAACAAAATAGCAACCCCACGAAGAAGAGAACCTCGGTGTGTCTGACCTTCCTGGCGGCGTCTTCTCCTTTAAGACATCACCCAAGGCCTATGTCTAAAAAAAAAAACCCTCGCCGTAGGCCTAGGGAAAAAACGACGGATCGAAACCAAGGGGGGCGTGCATAGGCCTCTCCGCGGGGAAGAAAGGCCGGTCACGTCATCAGAGAGGGGAAAAAAGGGGCAAAAATAAGGGGGGAAAAGTCGGTAGTGTGTGCGGGTGCGTGCGGGTCCCGTCTCGGTTTCCCTTCGCCTCGAGGAGA